TTTTTGAATTTGAGTTTAATTTCTGTTATAAAAAATACTTATTACTATTAAATTCTCATTATATAATAATATGTTTAATGAATAAACATTTGTACAAATATTGTAAACATTGTTTATTGAGAAATTCTTTGTGATTTGTAAATTAATTCATTTTTCAACTAAATTTGATTAAATTTAATATTTATTTGATTTTTAATAATTACTATTACTATTATTTTCAAGAATATAAATTCAAAGAAATAGCAAAGAAATACTATTAAAACAATTCTGAATATAAAAATATATAACAAAAGATTGAAATAAAATTAATGAAGTAAGAATTGGAGAATTTACTGCAACCGCAAGACTAACCATTACACAGAATAAATTTATTTACAATAAAGTAGTTTCAATATAAAAATGCATAAATTAATAATTGTTTTGTTTAAAAAACTAATTGTCAGACTTATGAACATTTCTTACGTTTATTTGTTAACTAAAATATTAAATGACCGTGAAATGTTTGTTTAATTGGCGATTTGGCAATTTTTTAATAATATTATTTTTAAATTATTTAAATTAAAAGAACAACTTGTATATATCAAGTTTGTTGATTCTAGAAAATACCATGGTATTCTAACCGATAAATTTAAATACAATTAAGTATAAATATAAATCTACAACAATTACAAGTTGCCTGATTTAAAGACACAACTGGTCGCTGATGAAGATCCTGATTAATCATTGTTTACATCTTAATTAAACCCATTAACTAACAAGAATTTTATAAACAGCTAAAATTCTTATATTTACATAATGTAAATAATGTTAACTATAGTTTTTAAATTATTAAACAACATTAATTGTCAATATCAATATTCATATAGCGTGGGGAACAAAAGTGTCCGAACTAATACCAGCTAGTTTAAATTAAAAATACAAGAAACTTATATACTTATAATAAGATATACATTTTACTGTGTTTATTAAGCTACAAATCAATGCAAACTATTTGTCTCTATCTGTTGTCATAATAAATAAAATAAACATCATTTTAATTCACAATTTAAAATATATTTTATAGAAAATTAATTATTAAAACCATTTTATCAATTATTGGATACCATGTTATGTGATGGTAATGTTTGTTTCTAATTTATATCAATCTACACCATAGTATAAAAGTATCATTTAAAAAGTTCCCGTAAATATTATTTTAGAAATAAAGTCATTTATAATAAGAAAACCTAAAATATTTTAATTATTATAATATAGATTTAATTTACAAATTATAAAAGTCAAATGAATAATAAACAATTGATTGCAATAATTATGTATATTATTTCGAGAGTTTGTATATCGAGAGTTTGGTGTGTCTTCATAATGTGATTCTGGACTCATTTCTTCGAATACTTTCTCTTCAAAATTAGTTGTATTTTCGAAATTATTGGTAATTATATTTTCCGTCTCTTCAAAAGTAGTAGTAGTAGTGGTTTGGACTCCATATTCATAAACTAAAACAACAATTATTAATAGAATTATAATTTATTTACACAACATCATCAAATTTTAAAAACCATGTACTTAAATAATCTAGATAATTACTGTCACTGTTTATTTTTCTATATTAAATCCATTGTGTTCTCAATGACAAAATCGTGTGATCAATGACTTAATCAAATAATATCCCTGTTTTACTAATACTGGATTTAAATTTGTTATTAATAATAAGTATTATTTATCTTACACTTAATAAACTCGGTTAAGTCAATATCATTTAACACTCATTGTTCGTGCTTTCGTTGATTGGGGTTACAGTATATTGAAAGTAATAGTATAACTAAAATAAATTAATAATCATATGAAAAAATTAATTTTAAAGTGAAAACTAAAACACTTTTAACGCTTTTATGTAAATAAAAAAGTTAAAATAAATCTACAGTAATGACTGAATATATAAATAGTTATCTAAAGCTATTGTTATAATTTATTTTTGTATTTTAATATAAAAGCACATAATAGTAAACGAGTAGTGAATATATAGGCGTAAAAATTATTAGTTGTTTTGATTACCATTAAGAATGATTGTACTCCTTATGGCTCCCAATCGGTTATTTGAAAGGCAAACATATTTTCCGGCGTCTCTAAAGTCTAAGTCAATAATTGTTAATTTAAAGTATACTTTAAAACCATTCGTATCAACAGTTTTAACAGAATATTTGTTTAATTTGTTTAAATCTATGATTTGATTGCCCAACGAATCCATCCAAAAATGTTGAGCTTTAGGATTGGATTCTGTGATACACTCGAGAGTTACGTTATGTCTGACATAAGACGAGACCATTTTGTTGGGAACCGTTATCGTCGGCGGAACTAAATTTACAAATGAAATCATTGTTTTAATATAACCATAAATATAACATCATTTGTATCTGTGAGGTATGTCTTACACTCGACTTCTAAGTATATATTTCTTCTGATCGATGGATTGATTTGGTTGGAAGCGATGCACACATAGTAACCGATTGCCGTACGACTCACTTCTGTTAAGTGTAATACTTCTGATTCAACCGATTCTGTCATTTTAGCCACAAATGCGTCCATTTTAGAAATAAAGTGAATCTTGTTTTATATACTGTTTAATCAAACCTATTATTTGGTTAGTGTTGGTGTCGATGGGGAGCGGCTGACCGTCTTGTTTACGCCAAATTATTGACGGCTAAAAGACAACAATAATGTTAAGTATATTTCACTTAATTTATTGACTAAATTTAGTATTTAATTCAATATACAGTAGAAAATACGATAAACCTTCGGATTTCCGGTTGCTTTACACGTGAGGCTAACATTTTGTGACTCTCGGACTTTGACCACAGAATCGCTTTCCATTGATTGCATTTTATCGAATTGAAGGGGAACTACATATTGAAGGCATCACTTATTAGTTATATTTCTTGTAACATTATTATACAAATTTTATATATTGTTAAATAATTTATAAAATTTTATGCCAGCTAAATTAAAATCTGGCCACACTATAAACTATAACAGTAATCACTAAAGCTATGATCATTTTTGTATAAATTTACACAATTACCTTAATAATAAATTTATGTTTTAAACCCTAATTATAATGATTTTTGATTCATAAATATTATATTCTAAAATTATTTTATTTAACATAAAAATAAATTACAATAGTTCTAGTTTAGTTTACTACAAAGACTTTTTACCATAATTGTGTATATGAAAATGGTGCCTTGTAAGCTTGAAGATTCATGCAATCTATTCATGAGGCTAATGCTAATTTTATGAGTAGTTTTCAAAGATAATGCTAATCCTATGGGAATTTCTATAAACTGTATCCACATTATACCAATTTCAAATTGCTGCTTCTCAAATTTGGTTTAGTCTTGGGATTTGCGTGCAAACCATGTTTAATAAATAATATTTTGACATAGCTTACAACACTTTTTTTAAATATTCTGATTTAAACACTGATTTGCCCATGATTAATTTATAAATATGATTAATGCTATTTAACAAATAATAATATACTGTATATTTACCAAAAATACTCAAGAATTTGAGTAATCTTTTTGGAGGCGAAGTATTGATTTGACAGATATAATACCCGGAATCACTTAACGTAACGTTTCTGATAATCAAACTCCTGTAATAAATTACAATAATTTATAACAACAAATGGATCCAAATATTCAGGTAATCTG